TCTCGATCTGTTACTTTGTAACTTGATCTGTTACACTGTTACTTAACTAAAGTTTTACTTTACTTTACTTTGCTTTGTGCAAGGTGTAGTATGTGTTACTAAAGGGAAGCTGTATTTGTCTTTTTCTGAAGCGCAAAGCTGTATTTTAGTGCCAAATTTGTTGGATGCCCTAAAAGATAAAAATATGCAAAGGAGAACTCACCAAGTAAATTATGTTTTGAGAAATTTTCCTGTGAAATGGAAAGTAAAACGTAGTGTAAGTTTAATTATTATCTAAATATTAAAAAAATATATATTAACCAAAATGGTGAGTGATTACTGGTTTGCACTTGCCTCATATAAGTGTTTCCTGTCAGTAATAAACATATAGGGACTGATCCTTATGATCCCTGGGAACAAACTTCACCCTTACCAAGTATGTAATGTGTTCACTTTAATCAGGTTTAGCTCCACCTGAGGTATTGTTAAAAAACTACAGGAGACAAGCAAAGCAATTTGCCACAATGGGAGACGAGAGAGCTGTGTATGATCGTGTTCGTTGTGTAGCTTTGACTAGAATTGTGTACGGAGATAATCACTGGAAGTTGGCAAAAGCTTACTCCAAGCTGTCCCAAGCATATCTTGAACAAAGAGGTGTGTACAGACAAAGTAAATTACAGGACAGTTAGGTAGAATCTCGTTAATTCAACCTGTATTAAATGAACAGCTGGTGACTAAAATCTGGCTGGAGTTATTTTGAGCTGTATCATATTATAAGGCATTTTTTCATGATTGTACAAAAGTGATTGTAAATAAATAGGGTGAAGTCTTGTTTCATAACGTTACACTTTTGGTTCATTTCATTGCTCAAAGTATCCTGAAAAGATGTTACTTTCTTGTACATTCTAAAGTGTAAATTCTGTAATGCATATAGCAGTACTTTATCACTCTTAAAGGCTTAAAAAAAGTGTTTATAAAACATAGTTTAACAGCGCTTTGACATCTATTTAAATAGATTCCAGGTAATTGATCACAGATGATGTCAAAATGTGGTAAGAACAAAATAGTGGAACACGAGTTGATAGCTGAGTTGGCACTGATTTTCTAACCACTTTTTGA